GTAAATAACACAATACAAACAATGCAGTACATGCTGCGGTATCATTTAGGGCTACTTCATGTTAGACTATGCATTATGATAGCAATTTACCGATGACTGCACTACTGTCATTTTTAAAAAATATATAATTACGCTCGGATTAATAATAAGATACAATGCCAGTAACGATTACAGTCTGTGAGTGAAGCAAAAAACATTGATTAAGATAGGCAACAAATTACACATTTTAGGCCTTGCTGCGTCCCTTAAGAGGACAATTTGGCCGTGTATGCATAGGCAAAACTAGAATGCTAATTGGGGGGTGGTGTAAATATTCATATATTCAGCTCTGCGCTGCTGTTGATTTCTTTTGTTGGCGATGTTATATTCAATAGAAATCAACAGGGCAAAGCTGAATATATGAATATTCACCCACCCCCACCCCCCCCCAATTAGCATTCTAGTTTCTCCCCTGCATGTATGTTGTCTACAGTCATCGTGACAAATCATGCGGGCGTTGTGGCCACAAATGAAACATCTAATTATAGAATGCTCGTCAATATCTTATTCTTTAATCGACCCCCTTACAAGGTTTCATTTTGGTCTGTCTACTTTTTCCCTAATTCCCTAAAGTTAACTTCATTCACTGAATATATAACTGTGAAAATAACTGTTCTGTTTCAAATGCGTTTTTAAGTTTTTATAGCCCATTTTTAAAACTTGATGACTCGTATTCAATTCAGCGCCCCCCAAATCAACAGCTAGGGGGGCCTTGGCCCCCTGACCCCCCTGCCACCACGCCACTGATTGTACAATGAGGCCGTCTCAAAAAAAACTTCTTCACAATTCAATAAAACACTCGAATTCATAATGTTAACAACAACTCCCCCCTTCTGTAATAATCCCAAAGTGTCAATCACGTGAAATGCACGCGATCCACAACAAAACAAAAAACAAATGTTCATCACACTCCCGACGTTGATCATATTGATCAATTTATTTTCACGAATTTTTACTATTTGACTGTCGCAATAGGTCTCCAATCACGACGGCAGTTCTTCGTTGTCTGGTTTTCATAGAGTTTTCGTCTTTAGACTAAATTCCACCAGTGGTTTTGGAACCACGGTACTTGCTAGACGCATAGTTCTGACGATCGAGCCTTTGTAGTACTCGCAACACAGACCTTTGCTACTCGAACAACACCATCCTTACTTATTATGAGCTCCGTAACTTTTGCCAATTTCCACAAAATTCGAGGGGAAAGATCATTTTTTAACACAACAACATCAGTAGATAAGGTGCAGCTTTGTCACACTTTTGTCACAGAGCTCTTACCCGTGCCAGTTAGTTTCCAGTCCCCTGAAGTTGATCGGTGCGCGCGCATGTCAACCGGAAATAGGGTTTAATAAACATGGCATGGCATTGGACGGCGTGAAAATCGGAAATACGACAAAGCTGGAAGTTGCATGCTATTGACAAAGTAACATTAGATCCGCCTTATGTTTTTTTGGTTAATAAACCGGATCTATGTCATTGTGTGTTCATTCTTCAAACTATATAGTCGAACTGTCGTCTTAAAAAATGTTATTTGCGTTGTTTATTGTTGCATTGCTTTTGGACGTTTTGAAAAAAAACAAAAAATATGGCACACATGTTTAATCAGATATATGCAGACACTGTTGAGTTTGAAGAAGTTAGTCACAGCGATCTTATCAATTTGATTTTCGTCGATTTTATAAGTAAAAAGATTCAAGAGCTACGAAGAGCTGAAAAGGATGAAAGTAAAGCAGACCCTTGGACGGAGTATCAAAACGTTTTAGAAATGATGGCTGAGGAAGATCGGTGGTTCAATTTTGCAGCTCGTGCAGTCGAAACAATCAATCGCGAACATGTCTGGAATGGAATATGTGAAGCCTTTAAGTTTCTAAAGTACAGTGGACCTTCGAACTCTCACAAGACATATTTTGACAAACTGTTTAGTGTTACTTGGGTAGAACTAATGTTAATGTACACAGAGACAAAACGTCCTCCTTTTTATCAACATCTCTTTGACTATGCTGATTGTAGTTGTAAACTGAAATACAGATCAACTGTGTAATTGCTTTGACAAAAAAATAAAATATAAATTTCAATGTTATTGCATTTTGTCTTCAGTTGTTTTATGACCATGTCATTGTGAAAATGGGGATCGGTAGCAGCAAACGTGAAAATAGAAATGCAAAAAGGGATAAAAATCATAATCGTCAGAAAATGTTTCGCTTGGGTATAAGTTTCGGACGCAACGATCTCAATCTTGAGGGTCATTTGCAAGCAGGATACACAAGTAAAACTGTTAAAATTATGGACCCGCCGCAATTAAACTTCCAACAGATAATGCGATAGAAGAAACACTGCCTGTAACTGAAAACATTGAACCCATCGATAATGAGTAGTTAAAAGAAATTGACATCTAATTGCAAAATTATTATCACGAGAACATTGTCATGAGTAACGTTGACCGGTACTTAGCCGGTGTATACTTCAATCCAAAACGCCCAGGAAGCTACGGAGGTGTTGAACGTTTGTACCGCGATGTAAAGGCAGAAGGAATATATGACATTAGTCGTGAAAGAATTAAAGAATGGCTCATGCAACAAGACGCATACTCTTTGCATAAACCTATTCGAAGAAAGTTTGAAAGAAATCGTGTCGTAGTGAGTGGTATTGACGACCAGTGGCAATTGGATCTTGCAGACATGCAATCTTTGCAAAAGTATAATGATGGTTATCGCTATCTTCTTATCTGTATTGATGTTTTTTCCAAATATGCATGGGCTGTTCCATTAAAAAAGAAAACAGGATCGTCGCTGGTAGAAGCTTTTAAAAAGATTTTGTCATCAGGACGTAAACCGACACACATTCAAACGGATCAAGGCTCAGAGTTTTTTAATCGAGACTTTAAGAAACTTTTGACAGAAGAAAACGTTACCTTGTTTAATACATTTAACGAGACGAAGGCATCCATCGTTGAACGTTTGATACGTACACTGAAAACTAAAATGTGGCGCTACTTCACAGCAAACAAAACAATGAGATACATTGACATGCTTCCTGATCTACTGTATTCTTATAATCATAGCATGCATCGCAGCATTAAGGAAAAACCGATCAACGTTACAAGTGAAAATGAAGATAGAATTCGGCAAAATTTATATGGTGATAGCAAATTAAATAAACCTACGCATGTAAAATATAAGTTTGATATAGGTGACCAAGTACGAATAAGTAAAATAAAACGAAGGTTTGAGAAGGGGTATTTACCGAATTTTTCAAAAGAAATTTTCACTGTAAGTCAAAAAATACCGCGCAATCCTCCTGTATACAGACTGAAAGATCATGAAGGGACGAACTTGAAGGAACATTTTATGAAAAAGAACTTCAAAAGTCATCAAGAAAGACGATGTTTATGAGATTGAAAAATACTTAAGAAACGTGGTAGAGGGGGCAATGTACAATATTTTGTAAAGTGGTCTGGCTACCCTAACAAATTTAATTCATGGGTACCTGCATCGGAAATACATATATAAAACGTAACCGTTTTCATGATTTTTTCATTTCACATTATACCTTAAAGATGAGCGGGACACACTTCTATCTGACATTACCTAGTAATGCATCTCTCTCTGTATTTCCTGAGAATAAGATTTCAGGTTATCGCGTAAAACTACCTCACGTTGTGAATTTAAATGGTAATTGGGAAGTAGGATTGTATTCAATTACATATCCTCATACATGGTACACGTTGAAAAAAGGTTTGGATACACATATATATGTAACTCACAAAACAGGTCTACCTACTCCGGTATTTGTCGACTATGGCCTGTATGAAAAAGCCTTCGACCTAGTAAAATCAGTTAATGAGACTCTTGACAAAGAAGTAAAAGACAATATCAAATTGAGCTTTGACCCCCGAACAGAAAAAATTAAAGTGCATGTAAGACAGGGTTACAAAATATCATTTAATCAACGAATGTCGGTCTTACTCGGTTTTGGCGGAAAAGACGTAGAGATTTTAAAAACAACCGAAAGCCCTTATGCTTCTGATTTGCACGGATCCGTCATGATGTATGTATATTGCAACATTGTACAACCGCAAGTTGTTGGAGACGTCAATGTAAAATTACTAAAGGCAGTTACCATTCAAGGAAAATATGGAGACATTGTTTCAAGAACATTCACTAATATCCAATACATACCTGTGCAAACAAAATCTTTTGAGGACATCGAAATTCTCTTAAGGGACGAGTTAGGAAACCCCATCGCATTTGAACGAGGGAAGTCGATAGTGACACTTCATTTCAGAAAGCAAGCTTCGTCTTATTTTACATAAGAAATATGACTCTAACAAATCGTTATGTTCAATATTATCTCAACCAACAACGAGGATACGGTTCATCACCAGTGTTTAAAGGAGCACCTTGGCAAAGAGGATATGGGCAAGTGGGTTATGGTCTTGGTGGCTTATTTCGCAGTTTAGCTAGGGCTGTAATACCTCTGGCAAAAAGCGGTGCAAAAGCTCTGGGTAAAATTGCTCTTAACACAGGAGCAAACGTTTTAGGCGATGTTATCTCGGGGAAAAGTGTGAAAGAGTCTGCAAAATCGCGAGTAAATCAGGCTGCTAAAGATGTGGGGAAAATGGCTGTAAACAGAATGCAGCAGTTTGCTCAAACAGGAAGAGGAAAGTCTTCAAAGAAACGGTCAAGAAAACCAGCTAAAAAGAGAAAGGCGACGACTTCCATTGCCATTCACAGTTCAGCCAAGAGACGTAAAGCAGCTAAAGAAGCAGAGGACATTTTCGGCTAAATATGGATTTCGTTCATCCAAAATCTGCAGAATGTACAAAACCGAACTTGATTTATTTTCTGTCCCACCAACACAAGTCAGTTTAGAAAAGGGCATTGGATTGATCATCAACCTGTGTCCAGCGTATCTGAAAATGGACCAATTACATTTTAGCGCCCGGCACTGAAGATTATGTTGACATGTCTAAGACAATATTGGTAGCTAGAGCGAAAGTAACAAAAGCCGATGGTGGGGATATCGATGATGACACTAAAGTTGGACCTGTAAACAATTTCTTGCACAGTTTGTTCAAGCAAGTTGACGTGTTTCTAAAAGGAAAGTTAGTTACACAAGCAACAGGAACATATCCATATCGTGCATATCTCGGAACACTTTTAAATTATGGTCCGTCAGCCAAACAATCCCAGCTCACCGCTGCGTTATTTTACAAAGATACTGCAGGTCAGATGGATAATGCAGATCCTGCTCACGCAAGTCCAAACAGGGGTTTGAAGACAAGAAATAAGTTTATCATGGGAAGTAAAATTGTTGATATGGCAGGTCCTATCTTTTGCGATGTTTTCTTTGGTGAACGTTACTTACTTAGCTATGTTGATTTGAAAGTGGTCATGAACCGTACCAGTGACGAATTTGTCTTAATGTCATCGGTGGACGGTGCAGCCTTTAGAGTGAAACTGATAGATGCATACCTTAAAGTTCGTAAAGTCAAAGTGAATCCTAGTATATCTCTGGCTCACGAAGTTGCCCTGAAAAAAGGTCCAGCCATTTACCCCGTAAGACGTGTGGACTGTAAAAGTTTTATTATTCCTTCTGGAAACCCTTCACTGCAAAAAGATAACCTTTTCAATGGTTTAGTGCCTAAATCGTTTGTTTTCGGTCTTGTTGAAAGTGCGTCATTCAACGGAGCTTATAAAAGAACCCATTCAATTTCCAACATTTCAACATTTCATCGTTAGGCATTTCAATAAATGGTGAATCTGTACCGTTTAAACCAATCAATTTGTCCTTTGGCGCGAATCCAAGATTTATAGAAGCATTTCTATCGCAGTTTTCAGGCACTGGGAAAATGTATTACGACACAGGCAATGGCATTACGCGTGAAGATTTCCCAAACGGTTTTGCCCTGTTCGGCGCGGACTTTACCCCGATATGTGCAGCGCATCCGAACATTTTAACACTGTGCAAAAAGGAAACCTGGCCATTGACTTACAATTCTCGACACCGCCAACTCATGCAGTTAGCCTTGTGTGCTATGGAGAGTTTGAAAATATAATACAAATCGATGGAGAGAGAAATGTCGTTTATTACTACATTGGATAAATGAACACCTCACAAATATGGACCGCTTTGAAATCCGATCCGGTAACAGGAAAAAATTTCTCGGTGTTTTTCCAGCCGACCGTTTGCCTAAAGAAATCGAAAGCTACCCAAAAGGATTTATCGCAAACACGGATGTAAGCGGAAAACCGGGGACCCATTGGGTTGCCTTTTACTTTCCTTCAGAAGAAAAATCCGAATTCTTCGATAGCTATGGACAACCACCAGGGCGATATCATAAGTTCTTTAGAGATTATTTGAAACATTATGATTGGGGGTTTAATAAACGTCAATTGCAAAGTATCTGGACGGATGTATGTGGACAATATTGTATATTTTACCTCAGCCATAGAGTGCGAGGATATAGCATGAATAAGATTGTAAACATGTTTGATGGTAATACTGTTGAGAACGATAACAAGGTATCAAGTTTCGTTAGCAGACATTTTCATATAGAAACTAGTGTAACCCTAAACGATAGCATTCAGTCAAGTATAAAATTTGTTGTAAAAGCTTGAGCCGTTTATTATCAATAAAATTTCTTTGTGTAAGCTAATTGCCTGTGTTTTCTATTTGCACTTTCTAATGATAACAGTCAGGAAATTGATATCAACTGCTCAATTTATTTAAACAAAACAAATCTTTACATGTCAAATTTTAATAGTCTATCCAACGTAAACGAGTTTTCTTTAGTGTAGGGGTGGCTTTAGGTGTTGTCATTTTCGTTCTTGAGCCTCTGTGGTGGGCTATTCCGTCTTCTTCATTGGGCGAAGTTTCCATTTGAGCTTCTTCCCATCTTACATCGTTCCGAACCAAATCGCGAGGAATGTTTATTTTTGATAAAACGCGAAAGAAAACCTGTAGGATTGAAATTCTTTCTCCCTCTTACGGCGTCGCTGATGAGGTCTGATATATTTGATTGAGGAATAATAACACCGTCAAGTTTGACTTGTCCTGAATCATCCCAAGTTATTATATCTGGCTTTGTTTTGAGACGCTGCAGTATTGCTGTTGCGCGTTCACGCATCGTCTTCGGCACACTTTGTACAATGACGGAGTCAGCTAATGTACGCACTTCGTTGTTTATTACCGAATTTCTTTCTTCCCCGTCGGTTGTATCCATCACGCGTACTGTGGGTATCTGAATATCTTTTTGTTTCTTCAAATTAAGGAATTGCTCAAAGTTTGTGTTGAAAAGTTTTTGCCTTTGATCGTCACTTAAACCGTCTTGGTGAAGGATGTGCGAGTTGAGTATCTTTTGCATCATGTTCATCGTAATTGGCGAAACTTCAAATTTTGCTTTTGTTCATATTTATTATAAACGTCTTCAGGTACTAAAATCATTCGCTTGGCATGCTTCATTATTTCAGCAAACTCCTAGTACGTTCAAAACCGGCGGTAGGAAGGCGCTCAGTAGATTGCCTCCTTTTGATTTAAAAGTTTTTCTTTTAGCTCTTGAAATTCTCTTGTTCGCTAAGGCTCTGAGATGTTTCTTATACCTCAACAAGCGTCGTTTTGACTCGCAGATATCGGTACAGTTCCTTTTAACACATTAACTGCGCATTCACAAATGCACAACATGACATCAGATGGTCCATGTTCGATGATAACCTTTCGAATTTTCGGCTTAGATTTTGCAAGTACTTGCAGGTACGGAAGATTGCTCCTAATTCGTTTAGACATAATGTTTAAATGATTGTCGATGTCGATGCTTATCACTTATGTACATAGACAATCTGCTTTTCACCGGGCAAGATATTTGTTCTGACACGCATATTGTCAGATGTGAGTTGATGCAAATCGAGCAAAAGATAGCCGTAAGGGCGGCATGTGGCGTCTTGAAATGACTCCAAAGGTAATTCGTTTTCTTTGGGTACATCTGCCGTGCCAATGTTGCGATACCTAGCGAATCTCTGGGGTTTTTAAAAATGATCATGTAGTGGGAATTTAAGCTGATTGTTCGGGATTGTTTACCAGGCGGAAATAAATTTTGTGTTAGATACATGACAGAGACGCCACGGTGATGTGACCCGCGGGTAAATAAATCGGACATTCGTTGATCGCTAGAACATTCTGACATCAAATCGTCAACGACCACTAAAGAGTTTTGACAACCTTCCAGAATATCAAATAAGTTGTCCGGGAATCCTTCGACGAAGCAAATGTTTGGAATTTTTGATTCCATTTCACCAAATTCACTTTGCCGTTCACCATAACAGTAAATAATTTTATTCGGAACAGGATAAAAAAGTTCATTTAAATTATAAAGCATCGACCTAACCAAATAGCTTTTGCCCGACTGACTTTGACCACACACATAAAAGTTGGCAGGTGTTCTAAAACGTACGTCCATTGTCTCGCAAATAAAAGCAAACATGCTCTGCTTTCACTTTTATAACCACTCGCGCTAGTAAGCATTTTGACATATTCAAAGAAAGACGGTATGATTCGACTAGCTTGAATGGGAGGTATTTGTAAAATAGTGAACAAAGTGCACACAATAAGAATACATTGGACAATGAACAATTTTATTAAATATTTTTCTAATTATCTACATGAATCAAACAACAAAATCTCTTTTGATTACATATGAACACATCATACTTTAGCAGATATTTATGACAAAAATTTTAAAAGCACTTGAGGGTTTACTTTAAAATCCTCACAAGCATAGGCATGTCTTTTAATCGTTCATTCATTTTGTAACTACATTCATAGTTCGCAACATTCATAGTTCACAAGAGTTGTTTGTAACTTTTCCAATTTTCCATAATGAATTCCTTGCTGTCTGTATGTTTTTTCCTTATGGCTTGCTCATAAGACGAATAAAGGTTTAAACTATTGTATATAAATTATACCAAGTTGCTATCATAAAGCAGGGGGGGAGGGAGTTTAAATGAGCAATACCCATAAATGAATACATGATAACAACTTGGTATAATTTATATACAATAGTTTAAACCTATTCTCTTATGAGCAGATGAGCAATGCTCATTGATGCTCATAATTACTTATGAGCACTTGCTCAAATGCTCATAACTGCTTCAACACACTTGCTCATTTGCCCACAAATGCACATTGCTACATAAAATGTCTCATTTCTAAAAAAGCAGTGCCGGCGAAATGAGCTGCAGATATTGTGGAAAAGTATTTAATCGAGCTTTCAACTTACGCAGACACGAAAAGAATACTGTCCACTAAGGGATGAGGAAAAATGTCTCAATCAGATTCAGACAGTCAGGGAATGCATTTCGAAGATAATGTTTCTACAAGTTCAACAGATGAATCTGAAAGTTCAATGTCAATAGAAAATGAGGCTGAAACTGGAGAAAACTGATCCTTGGATACCTTTGATAGAAGAAGCAAGGGAAAGAAGTAATGTAGATTTCGATGAGATGAAGGAAAGCCTTGTGAACAGTGGTCTGGATGAGCAGACAGCTGAAAATCAAGCATATTCTAACATTCTACCAAAACTTCAAAAGAATTGGAAAGTATTTATATGCAACGTCTTATGTGGATAAACCAACTGAAAAAGATCCCATCCACAGAAAAATAATGCATACAAAGAAAGGGTTTATAGAAAATGACGACTTTGATCCACAGGAAGCTATGGAAGCAGCTATTGATAAGAGAAAGTTTCTCATCAACAGACTTTTAAAGAGTACAGCTTTGGTGAGATTGCCAATGATGAAGAAGATTAACTTTGTTAGATGAATTCGTTTCATAATAACTTGTATCTTATTTTGAAGTGACGTTGTTCAATAAAATCTTTTCATTTTCAGTTTAGTGTGAAAATTACTTTAATATTGCATAGCTGCAAAATCCTCTGCTATTGTTTCTATCTCTATCTGTTTAATGGAAACATGCCGAGAAAGCCTCTTAGAGCTATACATACTGCGCGAAGCTCGATGTTTTGAAATATTTTGCGCCTTCATAAGATGAAAAGGAAATTCCCTAAAGTGATGATGCATGAAATAGCTCGAATAATATTACGCTTACGGCACACTTCTACCTATATACGCGACTTTCAGCAGTAAACCGGTTATTTTAAGCCTGAAACAACTAAAATTGTTGTGCCACATCGCATCTTGAATGCATAAGTTAATAAATTTAAACCACTATAGGCAGATAGGCTTGTGGTATCAATTACTGCAATATCAATATCAAACGCGCGTTGCACTTTTATCAGTTGATTGCCCTAACTTCTTGGTTTAAATTCTCCTAATACGATCTCTAGCAAACAGTAAAACAAACGCATAAAAGTAATAATAAAAATAATGTTTGTAAATCTAAGAAGGACAGAGTTAAAAGCTAGGATACTGCACAGATCTTACCCACGCCACATTATTCAAGGTCATACTATTCAATGGTAATTTATAATTTACATTTGCGAGATGGCAACGAAGGTCACATCTGAAGCGCATGTGTAGTGTATCTCAACCACTTACGAAACAGAGAGCCTTTGTGAAGATGCAATATCCAAACATGCAATCGAAGAAGGATGGCCTCGCCATAAGCGTCGTTTTATACCTTCAGTAAGTACCGTTTGTCTTTTTTCTGTTCCTTAGAGTGTTTGTATTAACTTTAACAGAGGCGTCGATTTTATTTTTTAGAAAAATGTGATCACTGTGATGATTATCTTGTAAAACCCTCGTGTGGGCATGTATCGTCTCATAAAAGATCTTATCGAGTAAGTTTTAATTCGTTTGTAGTTGTCGTAAAATGTTTTTTTCTATGTAATATTACATCGCTTACGTATATGTATACAGAAGTGCTAACATGTAAGCAGTAAATTCATACATGTTTCTTATATTTCATTTAGAACAATGTGTAATGGTTTGACCTTACGAATCGAACAGGAATAAATAAAAATATATATTTACAAAAGCTTAACGACTCGTGTTTCAAGTTTGTTGTTTGACCTTACGAATCGAACAGGAATAAATAATATATATTTACAAAAGCTTAACGACTCGCGTTTCAAGTTTGTTCTTTTTATCTGAAACAAATATTTTAAGCCAATCTTTACAAGTATATTTTAGTATCTCAAGTCCGTTAACGGGTGGCTTGACATCTTCAATGCTTTTCATAAAATCTTTGATCACAATCTCTTCGGACACGCTTTCCAGGGCATCATCAAAATGCAACAACATACGCTCGTCATGCTCCATCATGAGACAGTCATGCTCGAGTTGAGAGTGGTGATCAATCATGCATCCATTGCAGTTCTTATTTACTTCAGCGTTTATCATTGCAGCAATTTCTTCAACATAGCAGTCTAAAAGTTTATTTTCTAACAAACTTTGACGTACAGTTATTTCATCCTTTTCTGACTCCAAAGTCAATTTGTTCATTCTTAATGCCAGATCAATGTCTACATTCAATTCCATTTGTTTCAAGAGATAAAATGTAAACCTTTCGATAAAGTATAAACTATAAAATGCAATTACCTTGTTTTCTACCGTTTTTACCTTCGATTGAGAAAAGGAAACGGATCTAATGTCACTTTGTCAATAGCATGCAACTTCCAGCTTTCTCGTATTTCCGATTTTCACGCCATCCAATGCCATGCCATGTTTATTAAATCCTATTTCCGGTTGACATGCGCGCGCACCGATCAACTTCAGGGGACTGGAAACTAACTGGCACGGGTAAGAGCTCTGTGACAAAAGTGTGACAAAGCTGCACCTTATCTACTAACATCTCCGACAGCTATCTTCTCCTTCTGTGCTCCATGAAGT